CGAGCGCTGGAGGGAAACAGAAGGAACCTGTGTGCCCGCAGGAGCGGGTCCGTCCCCGGGGAGGGAGGGAGTCCTGCTGGACGGCGCCGGCCCCCCAAAGAGAGAGAGAGGCTCTTTGTCCCGCTGGGCTGCAGCTGAGGGGGGCGGGGAGGTGACTCCGGGCCCTTCTCCAGTGCGGACCCCTCTGGGAGACCCAGTGGGTGGTGAACTAACTGCTCCCTAACCTTCTGTCCGCTGCCCCCGCAGGTGGTGGGCAGTGGTGGTGCTGGTCGCCATCCCCTCCCTGGGGGCAGGTGGGGAGACCCCCGAAGCCCCTCCGGAGTCCTGGACCCAGCAATGGTTCTTCCGCTTTTTGGTGAATGCTGCTGGCTACGCCAGCTTCATGCTCCCTGGCTACCTGCTGGTGCGGTACTTCAGGCGGAAGAACTACCTTGAGACAGGTGTGTGGGCCAAGGGTGGGGAAGTGTGCTCGGTGCACAGGACAAGTGCTGGCCAGCTGTCCAAGCAGGGATGTGGCTTGGCGAGGGAGGGAGGGAGGGCAGCTGGCTGCTCTAGAGAAGACCATGAGGTGCTGGGGAGAAGACTGGGCCTTGACTTTGCGTGCCTTCTGCAGGCAGGGGTCTCTGCTTCCCTCTGGTGAAAGTGTGTGTATTCGGCAATGAGCCCAAGGCCTCCGACGAGGTTCCCCTGGCTCCCCGGACAGAGCCGGCGGAGACCACTCCTACGTGGCAGGCCCTGAAGCTGCTCTTCTGTGCGGTGGGACTCCAGGTAGGCGGGCAGGCTCTGCTTCTCCCCGCATTGGGTCACGGTGGGCAGGGGCTCTGGAATCAAAGTTTTCACCCTTCCAGTCCCAACAGTGTTTTAGTTGGTTATGTGTCCCCCTCCTAGGGGCACACTGTACCACCATCTTCTTAGAAGTGATTGAAGTGATTGGAGAAAATGTCTCTCCCCCTCCCCCCGTGATTTCTACTGTCCTATTACACTTTCTTCCACAATGATGTGTTTCATATACTGTACTGTAAACCCACTGATAAAAGTTTTGGGGGGAAGCCATTCAGCCTTCTCCCACACTGCATGTGAGAAGGGGTGCCAAGATGCTGGCCTCATGGCATTTTTGAGTGGACACTACTAGTCCCACCTCATATAACATGTCAAACTGATAGATGTCCAATTCTTGCCTGCCTGAATTGGTTGGAAATAGAAAATATTTGGGATGGAGTCAGCTCTAACAAACCCTCATGTGGGACAGACAGGGTCTGGGCAGTTCTAAAGCATTTGTTGTGTTTCACACACATTTGATTCCCTACAAGATAAATCCAGGCTTGAGAGGGAACGGGAAACTTCCTAGTTACTACACAGAGGAACCAAATTACGTGTGCTGTCCTTTAAACTAGCGGTTGCCAACGGGTGGTCCGTGAGGTCGGAAAGGCTGGCGACTGCTGCTTTAAACAGCCTTCTGAGGAAGAGGGAAGTTGATGAAATCCTTTGGCAACCTTTTCCTTATTTATCTTTTTAATCTCCACCCTCCCCCATCCAGGTGTCTTACCTGACTTGGGGAGTGCTGCAGGAAAGAGTGATGACCCGCAGCTATGGGGCCACAGCCACATGGGCAGGTGAGCGCTTCACAGACTCGCAGTTTCTGGTGCTAATGAACCGAGTGCTGGCGTTTATTGTGGCTGGCCTCTACTGCCTCTTCTGCAAACAGCCCCGACATGGGGCACCCATGTACCAGTACTCCTTTGCCAGCCTGTCCAATGTGCTTAGCAGCTGGTGTCAGTATGAAGCTCTCAAGTTTGTCAGCTTCCCCACTCAGGTGCTGGCCAAGGCCTCTAAGGTGATCCCTGTCATGCTAATGGGAAAGTTGGTGTCTCGGCGCAGCTACGAACACTGGGAGTACCTGACAGCAGGCCTCATCTCCATTGGGGTCAGCATGTTTCTGCTGTCCAGCGGACCAGAGCCCCGAAGTTCACAGGCCACCACACTCTCGGGCCTGATCCTATTGGGAGGCTACATTGCCTTTGACAGCTTCACCTCGAACTGGCAGGATGCCCTATTTGCCTATAAGATGTCATCAGTGCAGATGATGCTTGGGGTCAACTTCTTCTCCTGCCTCTTCACAGTGGGCTCCCTGCTAGAGCAGGGGGCCCTCCTGGAGGGGACCCGCTTCATGGGGAGACACAGTGAGTTTGCTGCACACGCCCTGCTGCTCTCAGTGTGCTCCGCATGTGGCCAGCTCTTCATCTTCTACACCATTGGACAGTTTGGGGCCGCAGTCTTCACCATCATCATGACCCTCCGCCAGGCCTTTGCCATTCTCCTCTCCTGCCTCCTCTATGGCCATACCATCACGGTGGTGGGGGGCCTAGGGGTGGCTGTGGTCTTTGCTGCCCTCCTGCTCAGAGTCTATGCCCGGGGCCGCTTAAAGCAACGGGGAAAGAAGGCTGTGCCCATCGAGTCCCCTGTGCAGGTTTGAGGGACCAGACTGGCAAAGTGAACGAAGATCCTTTTACCATACCGGTTTCCTCTCCTAGTGTGTAGCTTCTCACAGGTGGCTGGCTCAAGGGCAAAATGCAAGCTTTCCTCAGTATCACAAACCAGCTCTGCAGTTAGGGGTTGGGAGGCCAGAAGGCCACCTTCCCTTTTGCCTTAAGCCACCAGTCCTCTGGTATGACTCTTGAGCCCCAGAGTAGAGTTCTGTTTGGAGAGGGGCAAAGGTATCTTCCAGAAATTCCCTGAAGTCTTGCTGTTAGCTCTGCCACCAACCTCACCAGTGCTTGTCCCCTACCCTGAATACCCTTATAGATTCCTCCCCGATGCCTGCATCTCTTACTCTGGTGATTGTAAGCAGAGTGCTGCTTTCCTAGGATAAATGACAGGTGGTGCTGTGATAGGGGAGGGGAGAGTCCTGCCAGCAACACCACCCTCTGCTCCTGGATCCCATGGCTCTGCTCAGAGCCAGTTGCAGGTTTTGGTACTTTGAAAATGTAACTTTCTGCTCATAATTTTATTTTTATTAAATTAAACTGCTGCAATGGACTTGGTCCTATATTTTGGTGGAGTTAACATGATAGTTCTCTTCTCATATAACCCATACTTCTGATGGCAAGGGAGACTTGGGATAGAGCAGCTAAGGGAACTCAAAAGGAGCAAAACTGTATAAAACGGCATCTTCTTTATTTTGCATACTTTAATTTCAGAACAAAATAAAAAAAACCACAATACATAACACATCCAAAACTATGTCAAATATGAGAAGAGGGCTTGAGGCCACTGTAACCTGCCTTAAGGAAAAGACAGGAGAGGGGAAAAGCCACTAAACATCAGAGGAAACCAGGTGGGCTAGGGCCACTCAGGGCTTCTGGGGGAGCCATGAAGACTACACAGAGGACGCAAGGTCTGCAGGTAGAAACTCCTAGTCTACTTCTTCCATGCGAGAGGCATCCTCATCACCCTCAAGGGGGGGGATCTCATCAGGAACAGCAGCACTGGGTTCTTCTGCTGTCACTTCATCTTCATCAATGCCTACAGTGGGAAAGAATGTCACAAGAGATTTGACCCAAGTAGCATCCAAGTCAAATCTGTCCATGTAAGAGCTGTTCCCCAATAGTGGTACTCACCTAGGCCTAGCTTGATC